TGTTTTTTTTATTTACAGCATGCCCTAAACAAACTGTGCTATGCGTTATCGATGGGAACTACGAGAACGCTGCACTAACCTTGCATGCTGTACGTGGCAGTCAATTGGCTTAAATTTCTGGGCATCAAATCTAACCGGATGCGCTCACTGACAACTCTAACAACAACATTAGCCTTCAATCACGGACTTGACAGTTAGGCATTGCATCACTATACAAAACCCAATTTCGTTTGCGTGAGAAAGCTGCACTTATAGGACTTAAAAAACCACGCACCTTTCACCTGGTTGAAGGCGACCTCGGCGAGGGCATACTGTGAGCCGATTGGTCAGGTTCTCGCACAGACAACTTTTGTCTGAAATCGCAAAGTCGTATGCGGCGTCCGATTCCCTATTTACCAGACAGACTTCAGTACGTGACACGGTGTGTCCCACCAGTGTAGTTGGCAGAGTAAAATTGGTACGGTCGAAGGTAACCTTCGGTTCCCGGGTGCGTCCCACTACCGTGAGTGGAAATGCTGCATCAAGTTCCGGTATCCGCACCTCCCACTTTGACTGAACGGTCTCCTGAAGTTGTCCGGTGAAGGTGACCTCAATCTGGGAATAAAGTGAAGTCAAGTCAGAAGGCACGAATTAGTTGAAGGGAATTAATACAAGATTGGTTTCCGCCCCTTTTGATTTCACGTTTACGAATGATGTCGCAGAAATGAACAGTACTGGATACCGTTTCAGCAGAACTGAAATCTCCTTGGCGACCATGCTATTTGAAAAACATCTACGTTTCTGATCAAAATAAACGTTTCTTGTAGCCCCTGAACGGACGGCTGCAACGCATGGCGAAGGATAAGAAGCAAAGTACAGTGCGTGACTGATCGCATGAAATGTTAGCCACAATTCTGGAATGCGTTTCCAATTAGGAAGGATTACTTAAGTGGGGTTGTTATACCGATTATCATGCAGCATAACCGTATGACATTTCGGACTCGCCAGGATGTCGGCTTTTGAATACACTCCTTTTTGACCTCCTGCGGAAACCACACTCGGTAAAAATGACGACTTAAGTAGCATGCATTTTTCCTATTGATTTTCGACAGTCTTCTAATATATATTTATATTTATATAAATTTATATTGCGGATTGAAGCGAAAATGCGCGTTCCGGATATAACTGAGAAGATAAGGCGACCACAGGAACCATGGATGTCTTTGCCTGACGTTTCGAAAGCAAACAAGCTTCCATCATCGGAGGTGGGTTGCGCACTGCACGTCACGGTATTTAAGGGTTTTCTTTCGTGCTGGCGTGTCACTGACTTCCAGCGCGCTGCATCACAAGGCCTGACGAAAAAACGACGGTCTACAGGAAGGCCACTAACACTCGCCAATTCCTATCCTATCACAAAAAAGGACCTGGTTAATTCAGAAATCGCTCTTTCAGGGCCGGTGTCTTGGGATCACAGTGACCTCGATTTCACTGTGTCAACATTGGAACCGAAACCCCTCAACCAGAAAAGGTGCCTTCAATTACACGCATTGCTGCAGACCAACACACAACTAGAGCTATTACATAACTTTTTAAACTTTCTACCTCTGTGTCAGTTCAAACGTCTTGGGTAAAAACAGAATGGCAATAGATTGAGTAACTAAGCCCCATCTTGAGCAGATAAATTAAATGGACCGGTATCTGCAGACGTAAGTGGCATTCTACAGAAATGTCTGCTGATTTTTCCAAAGACGCTTTTTGATTCCGTCAAATACAACCGATCTGAGACCTATGAAGAAAGTTGCAGTTGTTAAACAACAGTACAATTAATAGTTCACGAAGTACTAAACACTGTTGAACTTTCACATTCTCTCAGGTGGTGAGACCCTTTAGAGTGGTGACTGGCTACTGCGTGGATTCCAGCCGAATTCCGTCACAAGTTTTATTTAAACGTGAACGGGAATTCATCGACGTAATTAGTGGAAGACAAGCGCCTCCTGAAGTTTGGGGCTAGCTGGGCTGTTTATTCAATGACTGCAAAAAGTCCGCTGTCGTATTGATGAAATACGCTAGGTTGTCAACTTATCAACAACACATCAGCGGACCATTTAGAATCACCTGCTCATTGACTCCGGGTTCCAGTGCCAAGAAACTGGGAGAAAACGAGACGATTTCATCACGTTTCACTGTGGCCTTTTCGGTATTACGAAAGTGGATCCGGTAGCACGTCTGACTAGTGTTCGTAACGAGGAGATTCCTAAGAGAAAACAAAAGTAGAACAAGGCTGCCTACACACATTTCCATTAAATGTTTACAGCAGTATGAATTGGTAACAATGAGTTCGATCATCTGAGGATCAGCGTTCGTGATAAACGAATTGCGTTTATTTAGAACATACCCTCCCGGTAATAAGGGAGGCATATTCACCCGTAGCAGTTTCAAGACGGTACCCTATGTACTAAGCCCACATCCGCAAGCTCCTCTGAGTCCCTAGGGCCAAAGTGCAGTTGCCGGACAGGGGTCGAAGTAATGCCAAGTTTCCGACGATTGCATGGCAAACAGCAGTATAGCATGTAAGAGGTGAAAGGTATTGCCTGGTCAGGCATCGGCCAGTA